GTCCGCGTTGCATATCGATTGATTCGGCTCACGTCCCTAAGAGTGTAGAACGAAACGAGAGCTTCAAGCAAAACTTCATCAACAATAACAGGTAACAATGTTAAAGTTTAAGGATTACAACTACAACATAACATGCCCCTCCACGGAGAAAGAGTCGTCCCGACTCTTGTCGATCCCTTCTACTTAGGGGTGTTTCCCCCCAGGCTTCCTTTTCCACCTTCTCTCCGGCGGGCTAGCCCTTCTGTCCCTACCTCTCTGATGGCCACGAGGCTGCTGAAACGTGAGGTCCAGCGAGTGGCGCTTTCGCTCAGGATCGGGCATGACGAAAAAATTGGGCTTGAATTCTTCTTGCCGGCGTTTCGCTCTGGCCAGCTTTTCCTGCCGGCGCCGCTCTTTCAGCTCTGGCGACGCTGGTCCGAACTCGTTCAGCTTCAGCACGTCCCCCACAGTGATCCGCAACTTCTCCAGAAAGAGCACGATTTGTCAGCCTATAAAGGGAGCCTTCCTGTGTCGAGGATCCGTCCTCATGCAGACGGCGGGATGAGTGTGGGCGAAGACTCCAGCACTTCACTGTAGTGGTCGCGAACCATGGCCTCAAAGTAACGGTCCTCCTTCGTAATGACACGCACAAATTCTGCGCATACTTCTCCCATGCGCGTCCATTCTTTCCTGTTGTTATCTTCGTAGGGGCTGGGGAAGAATAGCAGCGTTCCGCCTGGCTGAAGATGCCGTTCCAATGCGACGATCATCTGCCTCATAGATCTTGATGAGGGCATCGTATCTGGCCACACTATTATAATGGCCGTCACAGTCTTCGTTTCTATCAACTTCTGGGCTAGGAGTTCTCAGCTCTCATATATACCATTTTCACTTTAAATTCACCCTTTTTCAAACCAAATTCGTCCTTTTTCAAACCAAATTCGTCCTTTTTCAAACCAAATTCACCCTCACTCTCTTCATCAAGAACCACACTTATTAGGGCGGGCAACTCATCAACCAGATCACGCCAGACATCACTGCGAGCCCCGCCCCGACGGCCACGCCCACTTGTCAGCGCGGACATAGATTCTCAAATCTTGTTTCATAACTTCTGCTTTTGCTGTTTCCCACAAACACTTTGACTGGAAACCACCGTGCATTCACACATGGCCGACTCCGCCCATTCTCTAAAGGGTTTGGCACTCTAGGCTGACACGCCCCACTGGCTTGTTCCGCGAATATTCGATGTTTTTCTCCAACAATTTTTGGCACTTTAGGTTGCGCTGTGAAGCCACGCCCACTGGGAGAGTGCTCCGCCCACTTTGAATGAGCCCCGCCCACTTTTCAAAAATGGTGCAGATCGGCAGTATAGAGACTTGGCTTGCATGTTAGGGTCTCGTACGTCACTCGGAACAAGAAAATCCGGCAAAGTTTATTCCGAATGATCAGCAATACACTAACATGCAAGCCAAGTCTCTATACTGCCGATCTGCACCATTTTTGAAAAGTGGGCGGGGTTTATTCAAAGTGGGCGGAGCATCTCACAAAGGGCGGGGCTTCACGCAGCAACCCTAAATTGCAAAAATTTTGAAATAAACATCAGACAATTCCGCGAAAAGCCAGTAGTCGGCTGTCCATGCCTAGGGAGGATAACCCTTTATGAGAGATGGGCGCCAGATCGGCCATGTGTGAATGCACGTGCGTGTTCGCAGTCAAGGGTTGTGGGAAACGCAAAAAAGCAGATTATGAAACAAGATTTGAGAATCTAATGTCCGCACTTGAATAAGGGGCGTCAGGCCGTCCGGGGCGGGCCTGCGCATGATGTTCTAGCGTGATCTGGCTGATGAGTTGCCGCTCCTATATAAGTGTGCGCTTCTTGATGAAGGGTGAGGGTGAATTTCGCTTTGGAAATAGACGAAATTTGGTTGGAAACAAAAGGCACGAATTTGGTTTGAAAAGGGCGGAATTTTAAAGTGGAAATATCCGTATGTATATATAAATAATAGTCATGATCTCATCGTAGTCCACCTCGGAGTGGACTCTGCCGAATGCCGAGGGTAGAGCAAGAAAAACGCTCTGTTCGGCGACAGTCAATGCTCCGGCAACCCTAACACTTTTCAACATCGACAGGGCAGTCGTAAGGTACGCTCCGGCATTCTCTCTGCATTCCTTCACTGACCATGGAAATAGCGCTGGATGTTCAAACCTGGTTCCAGTGGCCTCATCGGCCTATGCATAAAGATGACAGCGACGGCGGTGGGCTTGCATGGCAAGCGGCAGAGACCATATGGCGTCATATACTGCGAGTTCTTCCTCCGCAACTTCTTCCTTCCGTTCGTCTCCCCAACACTCCTGTTCGGAGATGGATGCCACGTTCGCCAGCTGGAACATGTCTCCAACCTTCTTTGACCGAGCCATAGGGTGCGTCAGCGTCGGGATTGCTACATGTGCCATTTGATCGAAAATACCGCAACTGCATTTCCGTCGCAAGTTCAACGGATGATCCATCGAGATGAGAGTCCTGAAACAAACCACTTTTTTGGAAAGAGAATTACTGGAGTCAGCTTTTTTCCTGGGTCTCCCTCTCTTTCTCCGTGTTGTGGTTGTCCTAAGGGGTTCGTCTGACACTCCCGCTGGTAACTTTACCAGCATGTCAAAAGGTACCCTAACCGGCTCTCGAACCCCTTCTATCCAGGTTAAAGGCACGGCCCGGGACCACATATGGGGACTGAGGGATCTAAAATACTATTTGGAACGCAGGAAATTACTCATTAAGAAAGAAAAAGCGAAGAAAAATAGTGGGGAATGCCCTTTATGGGGCTCTGTACCGAACCGGGGCTGGACGAGCAAAGAACGACGAAGGGGCGGGGTCCGGACGAGTTTTTCGCGCGGTGCTGAAATGCTGGCCGGTTGCCAACAGCTGATCGATAGCGTTGGCGTTATTTTCAATTACACGCCATCTTCTTTTTTCTTCTCCCTCCCTCCTTTTTTTTTCTCTTTTCCGTCTTTTTTCTTGTTTTTTTCTTTCTCTCTGTTGTGTAGTGTGGTTTCCTCTGTAATAATTGTAATATTATTGTGATACTATTGTATTGTAGTAATTGTTTCGTTTAATACCACACTTTAGATCTTCCAGACTGTCGACCTTCTAAAATTCATCAAATGATAAAATGTGTGCGATTTACTAGATGCAATTCACTGTTTTATCAAGAATTGTCTTGAATTTAGGGAAGATCCGGCGTGATGCGGCAACTTGAGGTCGTCTTTTGATGAACATTTATTTTGCCTGCCTCTGTATTCATTTCTGAATGGAAACGACGATTCCACTACTGTGAACTTCAGGCCATATGGCAAATTTCTTCCTGGGAAAGGTGAGTACTTCATGTAATACAAGTTGGCGTAGCTCTCAGAGAAGGGACAGTTTACGTCATCATGTTATTCTTTTGCTAGCTTTGCCCTCTTCATTTTTGTCCTTGTGAACGCCCTTCATGAAATCGCCCCTCATTTCTGTGAACTTATGTTGTTGCTGTTCGGTTTAGCTTTTCGTCTCATCATCGTCATTTTTCCAGCTAGCACAATTAACTTGTGACGCGGCAGCAATGACAGTCGCGTCACAGCCGAGTCACACGCAGCGCGGCTCACCCGCCCCACCGGTCTGCAATGATGAGCACCATATGTTTGTTGTATACAATCTAACTGCAGCTGCTTTTAGTTATGTTGTCCTTTGTGGTAATCACTTTGTTTTAGAATATGGAGCGGGCAGGTGTTGGAGTGAAGCGGTCTTTAACATCTTTGCGAAATGTTTTGTCTGAAAAGGATGGATCTGTTTCAGTAGCAGCGGTATTCTTTTTATCACATGATGAAGTTTTCTTAGCACCAACATTACCATATTCCAGGCCCGTGAGTGTTTTCGTGATTTCAAATCGGAGCTTGAACTACTCGACGATGCAAAGAAAGATGCCAATTCATCAAAAACATGCAGTTTAGGATGCAGCTTCTTGAGAAATGAAGTAAAGGCGTTCTGTTTTACTGAGTGAACGTAATGCTATGATGTATACCATATGATGTTCACGTAAACTGCTTGTGGTACTAGCTCTCATCCCACTGGACTGCCCATAATCAAAGCCTTTTGCTAATTTGTTGATTCAATCTCTCTGGGTTCACACGTGCCCGTCTTAAAAGACGCTAGGAAAAACCCTCCACAACTCCGTCCAGAGAATCGTTTTGCGAAATTCAAGAGAAACTTTGGGTTTAGCCTTACAAGATGCATCTGTCGGTTAACACCTCATTGTAAAGGGCCTTCCTAATCGGCCAGTACGTTTATGTGCAACCAGCAGCTAATCTTTGAGAAGAGAGAATTTTCGAGTGAAGACAAAAGTTTTCGCATTACAGACAGAAAGTTTCTGCATTACAGGAGTTTTAATTGGTCTCTTCTGAGAAATTCTTTCAAACGAGGTGAGACACCCGTAATTTCAGGTCATTTTCTTGAAGTACGCATTATTAGTTACACATCTCTGTTTTGATATTAGCTGGCAAATGTTCTGCTCTTGATGAACCCTTCCCTTAGCACTTTCTACCACTTTCGAGTACAACATTTTATTTTGTTTTCTTTTATGTTACTACTGTGCCTATTGAGGCTTTAGGTGGAACCATTTATCCTGAGCTGATGCTTCAACACACTGTGTTGAAGCATCAGGTCAGGATCTTTCCTTTTCCTTTTGATCTTTGTCTTCCAGTGGAAGCCCTTTTCCACCGTGGAAGGAAAACATGAATTTACTTCCGAAAAGGTCAACATTCGATCTTTCCAAAATGAACAGCATCCATTTATCAAGATCCCACTGTCTCCACCATTTTCGGGTTTTTATTGTGGTTTTCTACAGTTTTCAGTTTTCTTCTGGCTCACTAAGTAAGTGATTCCTAATGAGCTAGACAAGAAGCAAAAGCCGAGCCTGCTTAGCAGTTTTTCGAGTGCATTTGTTCCCTCTTTTCTGGTTTGGAGAGCGTACCTTGAAGTTATCGAAAATGGTCAGTTTTACGGCTCAAATACTGATGATAGGGTGGCGAATAACACAGATAAAGAAGAAAAAAGCAGAAAAACTCGTTTGAGAGGCCATAATAGGACGCCATGCCGGACACCGTTCGGACGTTCATACGTACATAAGTCGAAGAGATGGCATGGTTGGACAAGTTCTTGTTTGGTGGTGTCAGCTCATCTTTTTTATCGCCTCACTCTCACCATACGAAATGGGGAGAGCTAGTAGTGAGCGACACAACCGAACCACTAGGAAACCAAAAGAGATATAAGTTGGACTTTGCCGTGGCTAGTGGGCTGTGCTGTGGTCTCCCCCGAGCTGGTAGCGCCTTCCGCTTGACCTTTTGCGCTGTGAAAGTGCTTGCGGACAGAGTTACCTGGATGAGCTCAAATGAACGCAAAGCGGGACTTGTTAGCTACGATGGGGTGCATGGTTCCAAAGGTCCGACACTATAGCCGAAACTGAAATGAACCAATTGATAAGCTGTCATTGGACTGTGGGGTATGGAGATTATTTTGGTATATCGTTGTTGGGAGTGTTAGCGTACTCGTTTCTCGTGTCATTAAGCTCTGTTTCACCTTTGTCTTCATTCTGCTGGTCCCTACGATACCTTGCTCTACATGTGGTGTGGTTCAGGTACATGCGTCGTCCTGTGATGTCTGGCCCAGGAATCTATGACCCTACTACGATACTGCATAGCAGTCATTTGAGTGCTGCTCTACGGGCAAGCTGGATCAAGCTCCTTTATATCTAAGCATCTGTCTTTGCGCGATCTTGAAGAGCTTTACATTAGTTTTATTCCGTTCAGTCTCGCATATTGAATAAAGAAGGCACTCAAATTTCAACTATATATATTTGTGAATTGTATGTATTGTACTACACCTGTATATTTGTGTATAATCTTGCGAAGAAATCAAAGGTAAAGTTCAGGTTCCAAAGTATCAATGTAAAGCTGTACGGCTCTCCTATCGTCACATCCGAAGTAATAACAGTAACACGAGGAGATTTGTTGCAAATGGTTCCTTATACCTGAAAACAAAAGGGCGAAAGTGTTGCCTTCGATCAGTACCTTTACAAGATGGGGAGGGTGCCTTACTTCTATTCAGAATGCTTATCGAATGCCATATGGCATATAGATAAGAGTCTCATACGTGGTAGAGAAAATTTCCGAAAGTCATGATAAAAGAATCAAAAACAAACTAAGTACCAACCTTTTGTGGCAAGGATCATCACATCCAGATCAAGGATAGCCAATGCGATTATTTCCAGCTCGGTCAGTGGGCGATTCGAGATATCAGGAAGAACATCCTGAATGACAACCTTCGAGAAGGTCTCAGACAGACTAAGTGGGATACTTACCACTTGAACAAAGAGTGTCATTGAAGCCATCAGCCATGCGATAACTTACTTCAGTCGTAAGTCAGAGACATCAGAAATGAGGAGGAACTGAAATCACAAACTAGATACATACAAATGAATAAATAAACCTCAGAGCGCTGAAATCCATCTTCATGATTCATTATCGCAATTTGACTCTATTGGTCATGGAACTGAACCGTACCTGTTAGGAATGCAGTCGAGTGAAGGCATGCTGTGCCCCATCGCAATGGAGGAGCCCGAGCCGGAGGTGTCGAGAGAGTGTTGAGGAGGGAAAGGGAGAGGGCAGGACGGAGAAGAGCTGAAAATAATGGAAGGTAAGAACGTGCTAACTGAAAATTCGAAGATTATATTTTGATGTACTTAGATTTTGCGCTTTACTCGGTAAGGAGCTGTCCCCGTCGAGACCAAAGGATGTCAAGTGGTGCTCCTGTGGATCATGTGTGTCTCTAAGCAGTGTGAGAGAAAACTTTTGCTGTCGAG